ATGAGCTATAAATTGCCCACGCCCAGGGCGTGATTTCCCGTTCTTAAGAATCTATTCTGCAATGGTCGGTCAGCAGTGATAGGGAATCCGAGTCTATGACGAAAGGTCCGGTTTCTTTCGAAGAGTAGCGATGGAGTTCCAGAACAGTAACGCCAAATCGGAGCTCCGGGGGCAGCAAGTCATTCCGAAGAATCTGTGTACCGGATGGCGATAAGGAGGAAGATGAAGTTAAGATTGAGCTTGACCTCACTCGCGATCGTGCAGCCAGCGTAACTGCCCCTGGATGACGATGAATCAAACCTGCCCATGGAGCACTCCTCTCCCAGTTGACGATTCCGCAACCACTTCTCACGGCCTCGTACTCGGCTGACTTCCGGTCCACTGCTCTGCGTGTCTGAGATTGGATTGGATTGGCCATGGCTACTTCGACCGGTGTCAGACAAAGTGAAGCCTTCGAAGTCAAGTATGCCCATGTAACTTCCTCATCTGCAAACAAACGACTAGCTGAGATTCTCGTGGCGCAGTGATGTCAGGAGGAGGAGAGCACTCCGTTCTGACTCTCGGAGCCGAGACGCTGTTGTGGACAAAGGTCGAGGTACGATGAAGGCTGCCCTGCCCGTCTGTACTCCAAAGCGATATGTGCAGATGATTTCTTTCCGCTCAGCCCAGAAAGCATTATACGATGTGCCCCGGCCGGATGCGAACGGGCCTAATCTCCACACAATTTCTGGTGGCGCCAATTTAATATGAGTACGGGTCGAGACGCCATGCACTTCCATGATTAGAAGGTCTGACCGAGCGACGACGAGAGGGATAACTGTCAGGAATTTTGTTTGGATCCGAGCGAGAAGGAGGAGGACTGAAACTCTGGATTAGTGGAACGAGAGCGGCTAGATTTGTCGCAGTTCCACAATACTCGTGTATTCTCCGCCGACGTCTCGGCAGAATCCCTGCTGCTGCTCCCGGTGGTGAGGAGGAGGAGGAGGAGGAGCTGCAAATGTGGCGCGCGTGTCCATTTCTACGGCTCCCCAGATTTGATCATAAACCTCTGCCTAGGCAAGGGAACGATGTCAAAGGAAAAGCGCTGCACCATAGCCCACTCTGGGAAAGAGAGCCACTCTAGCCGACAAGTGAAACCGAGCTAGCGACATTCGTCACCGAGCATAAACCTCACGATGCTCGAGCAATCATCGCCACAGGAGTAGAGTCCCGAGATCGAAGGCACCGAAGAGGTGCAAGAGGCCTGCGGAATTGCGAGAACCCAAAAGAATCCGACGAACTCACAACCTCCGTGTCTGAGATCTCCTACTACATTCCACCGCATCACGTAGCCCCAACCTTCACATCCTCCAGGCACGAGGCTAAAACCTCGGCTCCACTCGCCCGCCCGCCATATCTAAAACCACCAAGGGTGGGGCGAAAGACGGATTCGAGAGCTCCATCGACACCAGTTTCCCCGTGCCCGACAAAAGTTTCCGAGTGGGGTGGGGGAGGGGGGCTTTCGCTCGTTTGCACGACCGCATGCCTCCGTGCGCAGATTCCACCTCCTGCTGGGAACCTCGAGCGGTACTGCATTCAACGACTGGGAGCCCCCATCTCGCGATCCGGGGGATCGATCGCGCCTCGGCTCTCGAGCGCCACCGGTGGGTCCCAGCATGAGGCCTAGGGCCTAGGTCCTACGGCCTGGGGGGCCTAGGTCGGCATCGGACTGGAGAGAGCGGAGCGTTGACAGTCTCGTCGGAAGTACGTCGTACATGCGTACTTTGGGGAGGGGCACTTTAAGCCGGCCATAGACGGGGTCTCTCTGTCGGACGGGTCCAACTGCTCGTCCTGTCCCGCCACGTGGGTGGTTTCGGGCATCAGGTCGCAAGGCCTCTGGGGGCTTTGTGGTTAGGACACGTGGCCCACCATCGTGCTGGCACCCCACGTCGACGAGCGCACTGGCCCGAAAGCGGAAAGACCCCTGGACTTCCTTCCCTCGAAGGCTCTCGTCCTCTTCCTCCGGCCTGCAATCCCGAGACGACGCGTGTCGACTTGTCCAAGCCCCGGTCGCGGGTTTAGTCCGAGGCTCGACGACTGAGGGTCACGACGTCACTGGGTCCCGACATCCCGACGGACTCCCGTCGCGCCCCTCGGAGACCGGTTTTGCTGCCCCGCATCGCTCGGAGCCATGGCGCATTTTATCCACCCCGCCCGGTCATCATGACGAGATTCACGTCGTTCGTTCTGTGCGTCGGCGGTAGAGTTTTAACCATGGTCGATAAACCCACGGTTAAGAAGGGACTCAGACTCGCCAAGTCCTCGGTACCCGGTCAGGCAAGACTTGACACCTTCTTCCATCTCCTTACCGTCCAGAGCCAGTTGTGGTCGTGGGCTGTAGCCGGTCCCACCGTGGGCTTTTCCGCGGTAGTCGTTCACGGCGTCAGTTCCAAACCCGTGGCCGTGAGCGAGTCCTCCGTTGCCAGCTCAGATCGTGACAGCGGGCGGGCGGGGGGTACAGTCTGACGTCTCCACTCCTGGTGCGTCTGCGAGCATTCTGCACCTCATGAATGCGAACGTTACAAGGCACATACGGCTACAGACTCAGGCTCAGGATTCGCCTCTACAGACTTACTGGACGCGATGGTCCTTGCGTTGTGCTTTTATCCTGGCACAGGTACTGCACATCCTCGCTATCCTTCGAAGGATTCCTGAATGGTTTGTCGTCGGGACAGTGCTGGGCGAGGGGTTATACCACTGTGACATGGAGCTGTTGAATCGTCGTCGTCGTCTCTACATGTAGCTGCCACATGCCTCCGGCAAAACATGAACCTTCGCTAAGCTAGAGGGAACGCCATGAGAAACAGGGAGTGTCATCTGCACTGGGCAGAAGAAGAATTTTGACTCTCACAAACACACACACACACTTTCTCTCTCTCAGACACAATACAATTCAGATAATCGTACATTCAGACGTCCTTCTCTTCCACTCAACCAAGACCAAGACAACTTGGATAAACTACTGGCCCACTCAAAGACTTCTCAGTGTTTGAGAGGAAGAGTAAGACATCGTCTGAAAGCCGAAGTATATAATACTTCATCTCAACAATACGCAGTTCTACAAAACCATGACCACATTTTCCAATAAATCTCAACGAACAACATGTGGGCGGATGGATGGTCTTGTCACTATAGTAGCTTGCAGAATCCATAAATCGAAACCTCTTTGTAATGCAGGCTTATCTCTTCTGTACTTGCCTGGCATTCAGAGAGCTGTGAATGACAATACGAGCAAGAGCAGCACGGTTGTAGGCGACCGGAGAGACTTGTACAGGGTAGATTTTGTAAGTCACGGTACACTGCAATGTAATGCAATGCAATGATTCTACTGTACTGAAGTTGTAGAGGTAGGAAGAGAAGCCCGAGGGTAGTAGTTTCGACTTCAAATTTTTTTTGGGCATAAACACGGGAGAACTGATAAAGGAGCATCTGATGCACCAGCCCAGCTCTCCTGTGGCGAGCTGTCCGTCAAATTGATGGGAGGGATTGCCAATTACCATCAAAGCCAAAAGAAAACCACCTCCATAGCTGTCCTCCTTCCACCCCACTGCCCTGGCTGATCGGAAGCTGAAAAGGTCTGCTTTGACCATCAGGTGCATCGCCCATCCCAGATGTGATAAAATCAGCTCGTCGCTGATGTGTTGGTATCGCTCATGCGAAAACAAAGCATGCCAAAAATCTGATCTCGGATGGCATGAGGGCACAGTGAGATAACGTGTGAATCTCTCGAGTATCCACCGACTAGATGCATGGGAGTAGGCCTGATGTAGCCAAGAGTGGCCAAGATTGCTGGTCGTGCAGTGACGAAGATATAGAAGCCATGCCAAAAAGAAATCGTAGTTGCTACCCTCTGGCCTCTCTCCTTCCTCCACAACTCCAGAGCAGTAGAATCATTGTAATTACACCGTGATCAGTGCACAGTGATTTACAAAGTCTATCCTGTAAACAAAAGAGATCAATCTACACTTCAGAAAAATTTCGAGTTTTAACATGATATACATTACCACAAGAAAGTTTATTCGCTCCTGATGGATTTTTATTTACGAAGCATAATGAAAAAAATAAAGAACTCACGACGTAGGCTTTCAAGCTGATGTGGGCTAGAAGAGAAGTTATGCTAAAGACAATGATACCACTTATGATTAGTAATCAGACCTCCTTTGTGACAACATGTCTACTGACCCCAGTTTACTTCTCCACTGCAAGAGGCTCGCAAACATATGGCTAATTGGAAATAAAATCCTCCCGAATCCCAAATGGAATCTGATAACAAAAGAGATAAGTCTACACATATTGTTATCCCCATAAAAGTAAAGAAAACCATGCTATCTTCTTGTGCCCAACAAATCAAGCGCTCATCCAAAAGCCTTTCTAGTCTAGTATCATGAACAGCCATACGAAAGAAGGGATGATCCACGAATTGATTGATATCAATGTCATCGAGTGTATTTTTCAAGTGCCCAATCATAATCCTTTGTTCATCTTTTCTACTTGGGTCTACTTTATCGTTTGTAAGAAGAATCTAACCACTCCGTGAACACCTCCAGTGGGGTGAGGGAGGAGGAGAAGAAGAAGCCATAGCCAGCAAAGTTGGCCCCAATTTCGAGCCTTGTTGGTGGTCGACATAAATACTCTTCCGCGCTCTTCACAGTTATCTCTCTTTAGCCTTCCTCATTTTCGGTCCTCATTTTTTATTTTCGCTCGCTATGAATGGGAGCGAAAAGAGGAGCGAAAATAGAAGCGAAAGAAACCGTCCACATACGGCGCAGCACAGAGTCGGAGGCCTCGGACGAAGGAGTAGAAACTCGCGGGTCCGGAAGTTTGCGCGGTCGAGATTCACGGATTCGCGGGCCGGGGCGAGAGGGGCCGGGCCGGGCCGGGCGGGCAGGGGCGGGTCAGGTCGTGTCGAGGAGCGATGGAGGTTGTTATCTGCAGCAGCAGCAGCAGCTGCGGTTCCGGCCTCCGTGTCCCAGCCACTGACCGACGCTCGCTCAGGGGCGCATTGACGATCGATCGCTCGCTCGCTCGCGCTCGCAATTGCCGACGCCTTGACTCGATTCGGGGCGCGATTTCGAATTCGCCTCGATTGCCGTGGAGCGCTCGCTGCCAGGGCGACCGGCGATCGCCGCAAATTTCCGGCCCTTCTTCGGGATTGGGCTCGCTCAGATTTCCTCGCTTTCGGTTTGGGCTGTTGGAGCGATTTGTACTCGGTGCTTTTCGGCAGGCCGAGCTCCCGAGCAGTTGGGCTGGTGGGGCTGCGCGAGGCATGCCCCGCGGGGGCGTCGTTGCGCATGAGGACAGCTTGTTGCTCGGTGGATTCGTGCGGAGCTCGCGCATTTTTTCCGTATTTAAGCTCTGAGGCCCAGGGTCGATTTTAGGGTTCGGTGTGCACTGGCGATGGGATCCGTGTGACCTGCGGGCGAGCGAGATGATGATTTTGTGACGGTCTTTTCGAGTCGGTGGGTATGTCTCCCGGAGGCTTTGTTGCGGCCGATTTTCAGACGCTGCCGAGTGGATAGGCTGAAGATTCAGGGATGTCTCGAGCGCTGGTGGTGGTGAAATCCGCGTTTCGTGGCGGAGGATTATCCTCGTCGGAAGAATAGACGCTTTATGTCTCATGGAGAGTCTTGTGGAGCGCGGAGCGTTCTGGCCGAGAATGTGACGGTCATGTGGGCATTATTTTCTTCACTCCGAGGACTCTCAGGGAGTCTGGTCTTGTGCGAAATTTCTCCCGTCGGAGATTGGCCCCCACGAGGAGTGTGTTCGACCGTAGTACTGGTCCCCGCTTCCACCTGAATCATTAGCCCGTAGATGTTCATATCTATTGTTAGACCCGTGGCAATTCGTATCCTTTTTACGCAACGACAGGGAATCGACCTCTCCTATTTCAAGTAGCTTGGTTTCTCCGAGAGAAGCAGAAATGGGGAAGAATCAGGCGTACAAGGCCATGCAGAGGGCGAAGATGGCTTCTCATACCGCTGCAGGCGGTCCCGATGAAATTGATGACGGAATGGTGTGTGTCCTTCCTTCATGCTTTCCCAGTCCTCGAAGTGGTATTCCGCATAGTTAACGGTTGTGATTGGTTTTATTGGCCACCTTTTCAATCGCTTTGAAGTCTGTATCCGAAATCTGTGAAATTGATGAAACTTTGGTTGGATTTTAAACCAATTTAAACGGGCATCTCTTAGTTAAAACCGAGTGCTAAAGGTTGAGAATCGAAAGTCTGAGAGCTGAAGTTTAGTTACACTACATAAGAGTTTTTTGAGGAGTGCTGAAAGATGCGAAGGCTGCTTTCGAATTAATTTAGCTTTTCGCTTTTCGAACAACTGGACTTCTGGAAAATTTGCCCGATGTTCACGAAGAGTTTTGCCCTCGGCTGCTCATTGAATTCCTGAATAAATTAAACTTATAATTTATCATTGTCTCTTTATCAAACTCGTCATCATGATGCCTTCTAGTCCTCATTTGGCGTGAAGCTCCGTGAACAGCTACTGACAAAGCAAGCCGCAGATGGACGGATCTTTCCATTCACCAGAGTGGCATGCAGCACGCTTGGCGAGTCTACAAACATCTCATACTGTCACCTGGGAGGAGTGGAAACAAAAGCAGAAGGTACAGCTGTTTCTATAAGTCATCGTTTGTTTTCCAGCCTTTGCAGACAATCCAGGGAGCGAATTCCAATGTTGAGTGTCGTTGTATAGCTGTTGTCGGACTTGCTCGCCTCTTACACTTTTCGAAAATTCATCGCCAAGGTTTTTAAATATAATGGTCAGTCGACAGACTTTTGTCAATGCGATCGCGCTGTGAGCTAAGGAACTTGGATCTTTGGAACTTTCAGGAAGACGCAAAGAGACAGGGCGAGCTAGAGGATGACGAGGCGCGAATGATGCGTGAGTACAGAGCTCAGCTCGATGCCGAGCGTGCCCGTAAGCTCGCTCGAGGGAAAAATCACCTCGATAAGAGAGAGAAACTGAGAAAGGGTATGTGTCACATGATACAACAAGACTACTACAGCGCAGCTTCTTGTGTTGCCCCTCCTCAGATTCCAGCTCTCCAAGGCGGAAATAAATCGTAATTGGCAATCATGGGGTTGTTCCTACTCGCGGTTTGAAGTGTTGGCTCTAACCTTTTGGCAATATGTTGATCTGTAGAGAAGAAGGAGAAAGAGAAGGAGAAGAGCCGTAGTGGCAAGAAGAGGAAGGTCAGTGACAGTCCTTCCGAATCTCCTCATGTGTCCCATTGGATTGTGTGCACTCGTGTGGATAGAGCAGAGCATCCGGGAAAAGCTCCTTGGATGAGACACAAGATACACGCACAGTGGCATTTGTACATCTCTGTAGCTCATCAGCTCATTGCTTCAGGCTCTTTATGATTTTGACATGCTCCCGGTGCCGACAGAAGTCATCGAAGAGGCGGAGAGGAAAAAGCGATGCAGATTCCGACTCAGAAACCTCAAGCAGCGACGAGGACGAGCGCGAGTACAGGAAGGAGAGAAGAAAGTCAAAGAAGGACAAGAAGGACAAGAAGCACAAATCGAGAAGAAAACGCTCGCGGAGCTCGAGCGATGAGAGCTCGAGCGATAGAGAGGAGTCGGGCCCCCTACCGCTTTCGTGCTATTTCGAAAATGGGAAGTAGACGAGAATTTCGAACCTGAGTGAGTCTCACGCACATTTTCGCTCGCTTTGGACCGATGCCTCCTCGGACAGAACATGGAACGATTAAATTCTCACTGCGGGAGGGAGGGATGAAGATCTGGAGGGCGGATCACGAGGTGGCTCGGTCGATGGAAACTAGCACTACACTGTAGCACGGACTTCTTTTTTCTCGTCCATGGTTGAGACTGGACGCAATTGGTTCAGTCTTAGTCTTACAGTGCTATTTGCCACACGTTGGGTTCATTGGCCCTCCGTGTTCATGTGGAATAGAACAGCCAGCCGTTTGAGGTTTTTTCACTGGTGTGTAAGTTCGGAGGAAACCTTCAACTTGTTTCACAGGAAATTTGTGATGAGAAGTAAAATTATTTGGATATTTGTGCACATGATGCATTGGCTTTGTGCTTCTCACACCTCCATCATCGGCAGCAGTAGTGGGTGAAATTGTCCCCCAAAAAACTGTAGACGGTAGGGACGAGTTTCATTGTTGCGTATGACATATGGGCGTGTGGGGAAAGCGATTATTCTTTCTCCATGTTGTGGATGTATGGGATAGGCTCGTGTGTAGGGAAAAGGTGTAATGTATCTGTTGCCCCGTCTACTGCGGTTTGATGTCTTAATCTTTCAGTGGACCCGCGGTTATGATCAATCATAAGATGCAACCAAATTCGGATGCCGATGCCTGTATGGGATATACATTATCAGGAAAAGCCTGGAAGCTTCCTCATCGTGACTTACGTGTAGCTATGACTGCCTAGTAATTTGAATTTGCGTACTGCACTTTAATGAGGTCCCGGGGCATTAGTCGTAGGAGGGTAGGTTTTCGTCGGTTCACTCTTCGCCTGTACATCTCACAATCTGCAGTTTGTCTGTATATATCATTAAAGGGATACAGATCCCAAGATGCTTCCTACTACATGCGGTCAGTTGAGTTGTAATCAGCAGCAGTACATTGACATCGTTTCACGATGACGCGGATTTGAAAAGAGACCGAACAGGACAGTTCGGTTTGCTTCTCGTACAGATTTCCGTTTTATGTGCATGTGGATAGCCTGCAAACTGCAATTTACATGGTGGGCAAACTCTAAGAATTTACTGGAACACCGTATTATAACACATTTTAGAATCATGGCTAACGTTCCAGAGCACGTTGATTCTCTTTCCTCACGAATGGAATTGTCGTAAGACTGCAGAAATACCCACAAGTTATCAAAAAGAAGATATAGAAAACAAATAAGCGATTTCAAAAGACACTAGTCAAAACCCTGGCCTGGCCTGTATCTTGGCAGTGACAGGTAAAGTTCAATGCATGTCCAACTCCTCCGTAGACCATGCTCCTCCATCATTCAGTTCATATACCGCTTGTATGATAATAAATTCACAAGAACACTGCTGTACACTGCTTGGAGAAAATTGAGTCCAAACGAGAACATATGGCGGTATGCATGAAGTGCATCCCTCCAGAGTCTGAAGAAGGTTCTCTGTTTTCGATACCAAGTACTGCCGAGCTGACCTAAAGATCTTCCCCGTTCAAACATCAATCAGTAGAGAGTCTGATCAATTGCAGTTTCCTATCTCCCATTACCAGATCCAAGTCTGCTTCTACTTTCATGAGTGGGACAAATGACATCTTATGCTGTGGATGTCTGGCGATATCCTGTGAGTCATGCATTTTGTCGCTGTACGACAAAGGCCACAACCAGAAATTAATCCTACATTATGTGTTAGTGTAGTCGGCAGAAGTCCACTCATCCTGCTTGAGACATCTTGAGCCATCAAAAGCAACAAAACTTCACATGTAGTGCGTCGGACGCATCACATTCCTGGTATGTTCGAATCCACAACATCTTTGCTCTCCCCAAGTACGACTGATCGAATACAGGGATATATATACAGAAAAACTTATCCAAGGTCCAAGAGCTAAACATGGTTAGATCACTTATCAACCGAAGGGCTCAGCTCAGTCTCCCCAACCTCCACCAGTGTTCCCGACCTCCACTGAGTCCCAAACTCCAACGCTCGACTTCGTCGGAGGGTCACCCCAAGATCCCATGTCAGTACTCTCTTTCTCAACGGGAGATGAATCCCAACCTCCGGATTTGCTCTTCTTCGTAGGGCTACTACCCCAACCTCCACTTTTCTCAGAAGCAGTTTCCCAGTTTCCATTAGCTTTTGATTTTGCGGTGTTCTTACTTCCACCATCCTTCTTTCCCAGAGTGGCTGAACCCCAACCTGCCCCACCGTTGCTTTTCTCTGCTGGTGTAGCATCCCAGCGCCCAGAGTTCTCATTTCCAGGGGCAACACTGTTATAATTCTTGCCTGGCGAAGCACCCCAGTTTCCTACAGTTGCAGGGGCAGCATCCCAGGTTCCACAATCGTTGGTTTTCTTGATTGGTGGGGAGTCCCAACCCCCGGCACTCTCATTTGCTGGGTCAACACCCCAGCTTCCACCCTTATCGGCTTTCTTGGGCGAGGCATCATCCCAACCGCTGGTAGTCTTAGCGGAAGCAGTATCCCATCCTCCACCGTTCTTCGATTTCTCGGCGGGTGCAGCACCCCAACCTCCACTTTCCCTTACAGGTGAAGCTCCCCAACCTCCTGCATCATTCTCAGCAGGGGTATCCGAGCCCCAAGCTCCCGCCTCAGCCCCATTGGGATCGTTAGCGCCCCAATTGGCTGTTGCAGGTGTGGATTTATCCTCCCAAGTCCGGCCATCAACTCCGAGATAGTCTCCACTAACGGAGCACACGGTGTCGAAAGCACGGGTTAGAGAGTTGAACTTGACACCTAAAATTTCGACCCGAAGAACGGAGCCGCTTTCGATGATTGAGCCATCTTTGCCTTTGAAATGTACTGGTTTGGACTCACTTGCTCCCACAAATGTGTATTGGTCCTTCATCAGTTTGGTTGAGAGAAACATGTTCTCAATTGGCCCGAAGGAGCACATGGCACCTTTCTCCTGGAGCTGCGGAAGAATAAATGAAAGGAGCTTCGTCAGCGGTATGATTGGAATACCTAGCAATATGCACATCGATCTCCAACTATTCATTTCGTGAAAATTAGAAGAGATGTTACCTCGCCAGTGACGACCGCAAACACTTTCTCGTGCTTTTGTGGCTTGTAGGTCAAGCAGCGGAAGCGGACCTTGTATGCAACGCATCCCTTGCCTTCCCATATTTTACCCTCGCTGATATCTTCAAGTGTGGTCACACAAATATAATATCCGTGCTTCTCAGAGCATTTGAGCTTGTTGAAATCCGCAAGTAGCTTTCTCAACTGTGTCATTACGTAGGCGATTCAAAAAGCTTGTCTTGATGATACAGATTATGTTCAAGGAAATCTAGATGACAGACGAGACAACCCAAAAGAGATAATACACAATACACACTGCGTTCACGTGAAATAAGAGTTGCACCGTTAGTAGCAGTTGTCACCCGTTGGCATCATACATAGCGCCAAGTAAATTTAGGACACGAACGGAAGGCATGAACACCAACTTTTGTTCAAACAAGACTTATCGCATTGTTCACCTCTAATTGCTTAGATGGTAGGCAAGTAAGCGTCACTCACCAGAGCTCTCTGTATATGCAGACCCGACTTCAGATCGCACGGTTTGACGGCGATTGTCCAAGTGAGCTCCGATTCCACAAACATTGTGCAAGATTCGTCTGCCTCCTTCTATTAGCCAAACTCCACTCTGCTCAACCACAAGCAGCTAATGAGGTTGCACTGGCAACACATTCCACGAGCATGACAAAGCTCAATATCGTATACACGAAGCTAAAACCTTCTCTTTAGCTGGTATCCATTCCTTCCACGGATTTCAGAAGCGAACATTCAATCTGGGAATCTCAGCAAGAATTGACAGACTGAGTCAAACCCTGTTGGTGCGTAGTCGGAATACAAAGGAAGAGCAGGGGAAGAGTCACAAAAAGAGGGCGAGAAGAACTAGCACCAATCTTCATCTAGTTTACCACTCTCCAAAGACAAAGATAGTATATGTCAGCTTAGATTGCTAGGCTGACTTACACTATCTTTATGCACACCTTTCCCTGAAACATTTGAAATTAGCTTCGAAACTAGTTGTTCAACAAACACCGATAGAAAGTGCGTGATCTGCTGAGCGTAGGGACAGATGGCAAGGGCTCAAAACCTGAATTAGGCGCTAGTGCATGATTCATCAATTGATATGAGGTATTACTTCAAGGAAAACAAAGTGGGGTACCACCGGCGGCAAACTCCTTTTCTTGCGTTGAAGCTATCTAAATGCAATAATTGCAATGCAAGAAATCGTATATTTTAACGAGCCTATTGCAACTGGAATGATTTCGATAAGACGTAAGCTACATGTCACGGTAGAATGTCAAAACAAGATACATGACATCCTTCTTGGCAAGATTACAAAGCGAAAGGAGCTGATTGGAGACCAGGAATCGGTCACGTCACATCACTCATCGCATCTAGCCGCAGAACCCACAATTCGGTGAGCAAGAGGTATGCGGCAGGCCAAATGATGCCTCGCATTACCAGGAATCGATGCCCCGATAAAAAGGTGGCAGGCGCGGACAAAATAAAAAACAACCACGAAAGAAAAGGAATGCCAATCTCGGTCACGAACAGCAAAGCAAGCACACCAGGAGCAAGCGCTTACCGCTTTGTCTTGGCTCCCCGGCTGGCTGGCTGGCTGGCTGGCTGGCGCCACGAGGTGTCGGGTGCCAGTACTGTCCTTCAGGAACGAAACCCTGGCCTAAACCCCGCAAAGCACCACAGTTGGCCGTTGGTACGACCAACAGAAGCTAGGGGCATAACGCTCCACCCTCCAATTTGCGACCCGAGCCCGGAAGGAGTTGCGGCACAGAGGCCTGGATGGCTTCACGTGCGAGCCGATCGTTGGACGCATCAGAATTGCGCAGTAGATCTAACGCCTTGTGATGATGCGTCGCCCACACACCGTGATGAAAGAACCATTCTCATTCTCCGACTCCGAAGTCGCACCAAAATCACAACAGAATTCCAAAAGTCTTCTCTCGTACTCTCCGGCACCTCGAACGAACACCACTGTACAAGAACATACACCCCCCTCCGCTCACTGCAACCTCCAGTAGTAAAGAACGGGCACGCGCTGATGCATTATAACAAGCTCCTCCACATTACGTTCTTCATCATGCGCTTCATTTCTGTCAGCTAAACCATGGCGATTGGCCTCACAATTTCATCCCTGGGCGACCGAACCATTCCAGGTTACATTCCGTTAGATCCATTCGACAACCCAATCTCGTACGACCGTCGTAGATTTCTGGGATTTCTACAGAACTGTTGGGACACCACACTTTCCCGCTCTGACCGTCCGAGGAATCGAATCTGACTGTAGCAAGAATGTAACAACATTTGGCCCAAGTGTGACTCGAATGTGCGGGTTTTGTTCTCTGCCCGACTCCAATCAAGATAGGGCTCGCGGAAACTGTCCGTCCGAAGAAAGCGTGGGAGAGATCGGCTCCTGGAGGAACGAATGCCGAATGAGACGACGCGACATGCAAGATCGGCAGCGTCCTCCGACACAGGGTCGCTCATCAGGCGTAGGAATATTCTCCGCCGCCATTCCGAGGGAATTTGTGAGTTCAAATTCGATCCGTTGACTGGGGTCGCATGCGGCGCGGCAGCCGTGAAGCTGTCAGCTTTGTGTCATCTGGCCATTCGCGGGAGTGGCGCAGGCGGCCCACATTCCATTCTTGGCGAACGCTTTTCGAGCTGCACAGTACGGTCTAGCGTTCATTTACCCGGTGCACAGTGTTCTCTGAAATAATTGTGCATTCCATATTATATATTCTGTTTCGGTTTTCCTTGGTAGATAAACCTAAGCTGAGAATTTCGAATTTGAGAATTCCAATAGTATGGAAATTCTTCGTTATCATTATTAACTATAATTATAATGTAAATTTTCATTTTTTTGAAAAATAATAAATAAATTTCTCAGTGAAAATTGGTGCATAATATATATATATATATATATGAAATTCTGAATTCCATACCTTGATGCTATACAATTCATTCCTTCAAGTTCCTTTCGTGCCATAAGTGATTAGATTCCAAATTTTCAATACTCAACCATGCGAAAAATATTCGGTATAGATTGTGGGTACGGTAAATTTTGGCTTGTCGGGAACGGTAATCACTAACTCCATTTCCAAGAGAGCTGTGCCATGATTTTTTTTAGACTGAATTTACGTATCATCAAACTTCATTGCTCTATGCGGTAAACCTTCCAAAGTTTCCAATGGCCATAAGGGCAACACACCGTGACAACAACGATCTAGTATGCAATCATGATAATTTTTTTCTCTTGCATTCTTATCAGGCTTGACTTTATGTGACATGAGCATATTGGTTGTATCCGGTGGCATCATTGGATCAAGTACCTTCTAGTGCCCATGGCTACGAACAATGGTTTGCAAACTAGTTAGTTGCTTCACATCTGTGTTTGATTTGGGATGATCAGGTTATTGTTTGGTACATGATTGTTATCAATCGCGATCGTTTATGATCGTTATCATATGCATGATACAGATTTACAGCGATTAATTCTCATTTTATAAGATGAACTGATATGTGGATCGTCAGCTAAGGTTTTTTAGAATAATGGTATAGATATACAGTAAGCATCTCTTTATTCCTCGGTCTTTTCAATCAAATGGAGATATAGACTTTGACATGTTCATGAAAAGTTGCGCTAAAAGCTATCGAGTGCCACTCTCTTCAGCTCATTGTATATGGCAGTATATGGAGTGCGATATATTAATTTACAAATATCACACGCTATTGTTATCTAGAATAGAGCAATCTTATTTTCTAGTGCTCTTATTTTGCAGCATAGCATGTTTCTCATTGTGTTACTACTGGGATCTATTCCTCCTAGTTGCATCGTTCCAAAAATTGACGAGACATTTTTTTGCTACAATGATTTTATCCTTTCAACGGCAGGTGTATACAGAGCTCGATTGTATCATGACATAATGTGGAATGAGATAATAATGCCTATCCACCGGCAAAAAAGTACATTCGATGGTGTAACGGTATTCGTTATGAATGAAATTGTGGCAGTGTTTTCTTACATCGGTTCGGCCAGTCATTGGAAAATCAAAATACCAAAGGAGAGGGACATGAGGGATGTCTCTGATCGCTCGATTTACACTGGGATCCTGTTAATCTTGACATCTTAGTAATCTCGAGTTAGAATTTTCTGCACTATGGGCTACAGGCGTTGTTAAATCAATCTCTTGAGTTTACCAGGGCAGTAGAGCCTGTCAAGGAATAGTGGATATGGAAAATAAACCTCGATTGATCGAACCCCAGATTCCTTCTTCTTTTTCCACACTTATAGCAAAGTCTCGTAACAAAAGCTAGGTCGACTAATCAACTTACTCTCTCTCGCAAGGTATATTTCTCCTTGTAGTCTACTGCTTCATAGAAGCCCTGTTCTAACAGCGCACGGTCGTCATGAAGTCAGTTGATTTTTCGAAGTTTAAGGGTCATTCGAGAACTAGAATGCTTGTGTGCCCTGGCAAAAACTTGTAATATAGTGACTCCCTTTTTTCCGGTATTTAGTTGTTCACCCTCACTTAGAAACAAACAAACAAGCATCATGGTTTATTTTTTGCTCCGAGTTTATATAGATGAGCGTGTGCGTGCACAATGTGAGTCTTGGCTAAATTCACTCCGACTACTTAAATCTTAAGTTTGCCCCAAAAGAAATGTACTTCTCCAAGCTTTAAGATGAAAAAACTCCTCACGTCTATGGAGTACAAAATGGTAGAACCTTTCCAGATAGCTCGATACATTATTACGGTAGGACGGATGTAATTTTATGGAAAGCTCTTGTATTGTAATATTTGTTAATTTAAATTACACCCAGTTCTGATCACCCTTCCTAGTATTATATAGTGAACCAATAATGTGAAATTACATATCAAATGCATTACCACATAAAAGCCAGTCCACTTCAAAATCTTTTCCAATTCATCCTATGAATTTTGATAAATATTTCAAATTGTAGAAATTATAAAACTGATTTTGGAAGCCACAACATAAGTACTTACACGATCATGTATGAAACTTCAAGTTATGCCTCCAAAAAATCTATTAATATGTATTAGTAATTATTATTATGATGATATACATTCATTATCATTTTATAATCATTCTTTTTCATTGCAAGTCTTTTCATAGAGAAGCCCTATTTAGGGGGCAGCTAGTTATACCCTCCTAGAGCTAATTAGCCCTCACTCTACTGTACGTTGGTCACTCGTTGGTGGTCCGAGTTATAGCTTCTGTGGGGTGAATTACAACTTCGTGAACTTTACTTCTTTCCCTCTTCGTCAAAGATGCCTCAGTGGCAAGAGCCACGTCAAACCCATGCATGACACCTTTGGGTTCAATGTTGTAGCATGACGAGGAGTTGAATGTATGTGTAGTGTTGAAGCCGCTCTCAAAACAAAACTTCAGCGTTTGGAAGCACATAAAAGAGCCCAATTTTTTGAGGTGAGAACCTCTGAAGTACCATTCAATTGGAACTTGGGTGAAAGTCCACTGCTTTAACAAATATCTAACGCAATCCAGCATCATTCACCTGCTCATACTAATAATCAATTTCTTCTACTTTCGGCGTACACTCCTAAAACCGCGTTTGGATACCAGAGGCAAAAATCATCACCAAACCAATCTACAGCAAACAGAGCATTGTGATCACGGCGCAACTTGTGCCGACTTGCCTTGGCCGATCGGGCGGCTCAACGAGTTCACTTTTCCACCCATCCATCCCAGTCAAAGATCTATGCACAACTCGTTCCGAGGAATCATCATCCCTTGCCTTCACGTCCAGCAACATATCCATGGGTATCATGCGACTGCGATCTCCCTTGAACACAAAGGTCACTGCCACTAATCTTCCTCGAACACAAAGATCGCTGCCACTGAGTGCCTTTGTTCACTACAGATGACGTTATCATCTGCACTAGCATTCGCTGTAGCGACAAAATTCCAAAGCTGACAATTGAATTCATGATCTTCAAGCGTCTTGTGAAATTTTCTCTCCTAAAAGCACCAAAACACTTAGAGTCATGGGAAAAACAGCCATTTCAAGAGCATGTCGAGGTCCAATAGATCAATCGAATCGTGTTGGATGAAATCTTCCGTTCCGTTTTAGGTGTGCTTTCGTGTCGCGCTCCTTTCCTACCAGGCACTGCACAGCCTTTGTGCAGAGATAATCCAAGAGCAACAAACTCCACTCACCCTAAGAGACAATATTCACAGCGTATCTCGAACGGTGAGGTGACAGACATGGATTTGATGTGGCAAGAGCCACGTCAAACCTTACTCATGTTAAGTAAACAGTAGACTCTTTTACCTATATTATTACTCCGCAAGAAGTTCTAGACAAAAATCTAACACAAAGTTACTCTTACACGAGAGTTAGTTAGAACTAAACCGTAGCCATAATCGGATAGAATAATAACATAAAGAGATTACTACAAACATGCTAGCATAGAGTTAACAAAAATCTCATTACCTATATAATTACTTTGCGAGAAGTTCTAGAAAGATTCCTCATACAAACTACCTCTTTACACAAGAGTTAACTAGGACTAAGCTAGAGTTATCAAAGGATAGAGTAACTATATGAAGAGATAACTGAAAATACTATGCTAGCAAACATTACATGTGTTTTCCTTGCACAATTTGCATTGTAGCACAATGTCGCCTGAAATTCTCCAAAATAATAACTTTGATCAACGTATCAGCTGTATTGACTACCTCAATCATCAGTTCAACAATTCCATATGTATCGGTTCTACTTCTTGATAATTAATCACATAATGATCAAACTCTTTCACAACTATATCTATGAGCAAAAACTTTATCTTGTCAGCATAGAGAGCTTGAGATCTCTTACACTCTTTCAATAAACATGCTCATTGAAAGACACACACCCATTGAAAGAACCTTACAATCTACATTGCTCGCGATTGACTGTCACCTATGACTATACCTCACCGTTGTTCGCGACTAAATGTGCTCGTGACAGTCACTGTCACCCGCAACTAATTGCGCATGCGACTGTACATTACCATCGCCTACGACTAGCTGTGTCCGCGATTGACTGTCACCGTCGCCCGCGACTTACTGCATCTGCGACCGTTGCCCACAACTTACTTTCACCTGCCACCATCAGTAGCCCACAACTTAATGTTATCCGCAACAAAAGTTAATGAATTACTTCCGTGGCAAAAGCCATGGAAACTACGAGATCCCTTAAACCCCACTGAATGAGGAGTACCAAGTTTTTGTATTTCCGTTATAATCTGTTAAAGTAATCATTGTATTACCAAAAGTTGATTGAATATAAGTAATATAGTGTTTTTTTTCATATTAGTAATACCTTTCTTTTTTTGCATGAGTGTTTATTTAATGTTTTTGGTGTTGTTTGATATCATCGATATTGTTTTTTTATGATACATCTAATCCGTTTACTAATTACAAAGATATTTTGTTCAAACTGAAAAAAAAATTATAAATTTTTTATCAACTTCTAATCGAAACGTATCTTAATTTGCGACAAGTCTTAGCATTAGTATGAGTTCGTTGGCCGCGTAAGGGCAATCCTGCATTATGGCGAAACCCACGATAACAACCAATATTAATTAATCGTTTGATGTCTCTCTTAATGACTCTCTTCAATTCTGAATCAACTAAATAATTTTGACTTATTATTTTTAGAATTTTGTCAAATTGATACTTAGATAACTTATTAACCTTAATGGTATCGCGAGGACTAATTGATCACAAACTTGAATTGACTTTTTAGGGCCAATTCCAAGTCATCTTTGACAAAGAGGGGAAAGAAATAAAACCTGCGAAGTTGTTACTCATCCCAAGTAAACTATAATCTAGGTGAGGGCTAATTAGTCTTAAGCTAGGTATAACTAGCTGCACCCTATTTTATATGATTATTTGGAAATAGTACAAGTTTTAAAAGAGGTTTGACATACTTAGATTCTCACATAAATATTACTTATTGTTATAGTGTAACTTATAGAATTATAGTCCATTTATTATAGCGCATACTTTTGCAGAAGAGAACATGAAATTTTTCTCTTATCATGTAGAATCAGAGTTTTGACAAATGAGCAAATTTCTGCTCGAACTCCGGATAGAAGATTTACAATGGATGTGTTATGATCATGGAGTTTGTGACTAATGGGCTGTTACTCGCACTGTCAATGCACCTTCAGCTATTTGAGTATTTGTGAGTAATTTCATGCGATGTACAATCAAAGATGCGTCCACATGTAAGATCTCGAGAAACAAGATGAACAACAACCCGAACTTGGTCCTATCTCTTCTTGCAATGTGCACAAAGACATATGGAGCTGGGAACATTCTTCATACCGGTTAGAAATTAACTCTGTTATGCTATCAAGTAAAATCACGGTCGCCAAGGCATGTCATAGAAACCATCATTAAAGCTAAAACTTTCAACCTTTACTCTCAGTTGGAAATTTGGTTAATGTTTAATACTTTTTCTGAAACTTTCGTCCCCTGATCTGTGTATACTACACTGGAACACAAGGGTTACATATCCACACTAAACTGAGCCCTCTGACCTACCATTTCGTGATCTTAGGTGAATGAGTTTACAAGAACCGTTCTTGGTAGTTGGATACACACGGCGGAAAATTTCGATACACAACTTCCGTTTTTTAAAAACATGCTTGCGATGTTCACGATAATACTGAGAATTCGTACTAGTGCATGCCACCCATGCTAATCATCAAAACTGTTCAATCATACTGTACCCTAGAAAGAATGTGTATACAACTACCATCCGTGAATAATAACAGTTGATGTACCAAATGGGTCACACAATAAAGGGTGGGGGTAGACCAAATAAGGGACCAACAAACAACAGTTATTATAGTATATATTACTCACAAATTTGTAAACTTGATTAATTGATAAAGTGCATGATTGAAGATAATCAATAGAGGCAAGTACACTGCTTACAGCAAATAGTTCTGTAGTGCATCGGGGATGTAGGATAATTGTAAGAGTCCCATACAGACTAGAGGGTATGAATTAGTGGCATGACCTTGAAAAGTTATGAAATGATAACATGTGTACATGCTAAAAGAGAATCTTTGGACTGTACAGACGTTACTCAATCACCGACGCAAGGGCCTAGTTTCATACATCATGAGTTGACCTCTCGTACAACTGAGGAGCCTTCTCCACACGATGTCTGAACTGACAGGAGAGATTACTGCTAGTTAGTGCACATGCATTTTGTCAACATCACAAAACAAATCGGACAATCGATCCCTGAGGATGTATTATAAATAGCCATCTTACTTCAGACAGCTTGTGAAGGCACGGGACGGATGCGCCAAGCGAAGGAAATTTTGTGAGAGTTCATGACTGCGTACATCACATCCGGGTATCGAGGACCACAACAGGTCCCACCCATATTCCGCTACTCACTATGCTGTCACTTACAACCATACCAAGCGGACAAAACGTTCAATTTACAATCTGCAGGTTCGCAGCTTCTACAAGCTTCACTTTTACAGGGATTTACTCTACAAAAAAGCTTATTCTTTGACGGTGTAGACCGAGCGAAGAAACCTACAACGAAAATCTTCTTCTACGCTGAACTCCTCTTACACTATCAACTGCTCAATATACCTATAGCTAAACCTCATATGTTACACGAGAAAATTCTCGGAGTAGCCTCCGAGTTTCCACAAGACAGGTTCAAACCCAAGTAATCCTAAGAAGAGGATACTGATCTTGCAAGTTTCCACCGTCGTTGATCGTCGAAGCTGTCTGTTAAACATGGACGATACCTACCTTACTAGAGCTGTACATGTGACAACACACTCGTCTTCAAGAAACCCATCACATCTGGCTAACCTACTGCCTCAACTGGATCTCCCTCCAGGCTAATCTTCTCAGGGTGCCTGAGAGCATCCTGCTACATTCGTGGTCAAAACGTTCTACCATCAGAAACCCATACGAGTACTCTCTTCATTCTTATACTGGATTTGTCTGCTGATCGAACCTCAATTACGCAGTATGAACTATTTCTTTACAATGACCAGTTTGCGACTCTAGTCATGAGGAGAGCATACGCCTCAAAAGCTCTTAGAAAGTCGGGCAGCTTCGCAGCACTGCAACCTCTACGGTGAGCCCTGGGCCAATTCCAAGCACAATTCCCCACTCAGAACCCTCTCCAGTAGTGGCCAGCTCCATATCGACGGACCGTTTTCTCAATTGTTCAAGGATGAACAACACACTCGCGCCAGACATATTACCATAATCCCTGAGCACTTCTCTGGTGGCCTGAAGTTTATCAGGATGCAGTTGTAGTGCCGTCTCTATTTCGTCTAGCAAAGCACGACCTCCCGGATGGACGCACCAGAATACGTCATTCCATTCAGGAAAATCCGCCACCTGACAACCATGAAACCGATCAGTATCCACGCACTTAAGAGAATCAGTCCATTCCCGAATTGAGCTTCTCTACAGATTCGTGGTCCACGAGTTTACTTCTACAGAAGATAAAGGACTGATACTCTCAAAACTTGTAGAACTTATTGTGATGTGAACATGCTAGTTCGAGACTGATAGCCCTTATATTGGTTCGAGCCTAAGTTAGTGAGCGTAGATATCTGAAAAGAGGGGGCCCAGAGAGATCAGGATCTGAGAGTAACTTTCGATACGACTCTAACACGACCTGGATTACAAGTCAGATTTGTGTCTCCTGTTTTAGTATATAGACTTAATACATCCGTGGTTAAATCGAGCTGCAACCTAGAAAAAAAACCGGGCAAGTAGCTGCTTCAAGTACTACCGAAAGCATCACTCACTGAAAGATAGCCAGTGTGAATGAGGCAAGAAAGAATCTTTTCATTTGGATAATGATGCTATAGGTTTACAAGCATCTACTTAGTGCTATATCAAATCCACCTACTCAAGTGTGTTCAATCTTAACAGCCGAAATACTCATAAATGTTCAAGTAAAAGAACCCTACCTCAATGGCTTCAGAGAGAATAGGTTGACTGTTTCTGGACATGAGCCCCGGTACGTCCTTCATCAAGTGATAGATAAGCCCGGCCTGACTCAGCCTACCTTCAATAGCACCGTCGCTTCCTGGAAGTATGGTTTGCCCGCACCAATGTATCTCGTACAACGGCGACTCTATCCCAGGTTTTGGATCGGATCCTATGATCAAGGCTGATGCTCCGTCACTGTTTCAAAGTTCCACATTGTCCGAGATTGTCAGCTTAGAATTTTTTTGAAGTGCACAAGTTACTACCACGTAATGAACAATAAATATATGACAAATATATGTGTGTGAATGAATGAAAAGTACAATGTGTGCTGTTCCAATCCATGTTTAGTACAGATTTCCTAAGGTAAAATTCTTATACATCTCATAAAAAATTATTACGCGTCAGCTCGAAGCTCAGTAACAAGGGAAAGAATCAAGCTGTTAGTGACAGCAGAGACCGAACATGGGTATAATGTGCTTTTGAAATCAGATGGAAATATGATAGAAGGAAGCAAGGACCTCTGCAATTTAATGACGGGCAACTACAGGGAGGTAGGGACTACCTCCTTGTAGTTGCTGGTCATGTCCTACTGCAGCGAATGGATAAGATTCTTTCTCAAAACTAGAAAAAGCGCAAGATGGGGAACTATCCCGCGGTTATATTACAGGACAGCTGGTGAGCCTGTCAAGCCAGCTGTAGAGTGTTAAATGGTATAACCAAGTCGCATGTTAACTTCTGGATAGGTGGCCAGAGAATTAATTGTGCATACTGCTGGTTCTATTTCTTCTCCTGTAACGTGAACAGACCAAATGTAGCTTTCAGAGAGAAAAGTTGGAACAAGGGTTCTTGGTTAACGATAAAATATCCGAGCTAGTTTTCTTGATGATGAAGAATCCAACTACAAGATGGACTATCTTCGCTGTCAACTGTTGTCTCTCGTTTCCTCTTACATCTTGTCCCCATACACAATCTAATCAGAATAGCAACGCCCAGCCAGGCTGGGGGGCCCATCCTGGCTGGAGTCTATGGTCTTCATTCTACAAGGAGCACATATTAAAAGTACACTTTGAAAGCGTCGAGTTTCGCCAAGAAAAGGGTCATAACTCCCGCTGGAACTGTACCTGGAGTTCATATTGATTCAGAACAAATCTCATAGATTGATGCCTCAATCGTTTGTCCAAATACAGAAACTTCACTCCATATTCTTATGGGTATTTGATTATCAATAATAAGAAGATAAGTGACGACCGACGAACCTGCAGATTGCCGCGCCAACCAAGTTGTCCATATGCTCCTCACTCGGAGCACGAAACGTGAAGCAAGTGATTTCCGACACTACAGTCAGGACTCTGGCACCTTTGTTGTTCTCGGCCAAATCCTTAGCGACCCTCAGAGCTGTCGATCCACCCAGAGAGCCTTGCTGGTAGAGCATCACGCGGTTTACGCTAGGCTTCAGCCCCAGCATTCTGCTCAGAGTAAGATCTGCACCCGGCATGTTGATCCCGCTAGTTGTCGCAAAGACAACATGAGTTATAGATGATCGTGACTGTCCCCACTCTTGAAGGACCTTGATTGCTGCCTTCTCTGCCAACCTAGGGACCTCCCGAATTGCGATTTCCTGCCGAGCGTCCAAGGATCCGTCCATGTATGAGCAGATGGAAGGATTTTCTTCGAGCACTTTTTGAGTCATATGAAAGTACCTACGGTTGATTCCCGACCTATCGCCTGCAAAATATACCACGTAAACTTCAAATTAGAGGACACGTCTTAACAAAGCAGAAGTCAGCAGCCATCTACAATTATGAAGAACTCAAGCTATCAAAATTTACAGAATACCAGAGGCCAGTAAGCCAGTCCCAACTGGAGGGTTCTGTGCACAGGGCAAAACAATCGACCTTGTCATCCGACTGTAATGAGCACAGCGAAGAGAATAGAATCTGTATTCCAAGACTAAGTACGTAGTGAGGTGGACGAGTTCACTACTCCTATTTATAACGTTAGAAGGCAATCAACTTCTGAATTCACTTGGTTCTGAAAAGTTTACATCTTAGCACAACGCTCTGATGTTATGAGTCCGGAAAGTGTATGAGGAGAAGTAAACGTGTCGGAAGGAAGGCAGAGCGACTTAGAAAGAGCAAACCCTGCATAAGACAAACACATAACCCGACCTAAGAATAAACACCTGCAAGGGAGCCTGAAGATACCGAAGAACTGATTGACAACGAGTTACTGTCAAAGCACAGGGACCGAGAAAAACTTGGCACCCAGATCTGTCATGGTGATCAGCAGACGCTGCCTCCAATCCCTTTCCCACATCCTCGTGATAAGTATGTGACTTATGAGTCGAGTACTTATTTTCCCTTGAACAGTCAAATTCGCTAACTAATAGTTCCTAAATTTATTCCGTCTCAAATCCAAACACAGTTCACAACTCATAGTGAACCTCAGATGGTCGGCCGTCTCTTATCTGTCAAACTCGGTCCTGGATCTACCTTGGGCTGGATTGTGCGCTATGTGACTACAGGCTGCAGCGTAGAGATTCTTCCAACTGAAATAAGTCAGTCTATTTGTGTGTATGTGATGCACACTCAGGAATCGTTACTGATCTGTCTCTCCCGCCGACAGGCCTCAGATCGTTTGGGTTCAATTGGACAAGAAGGACGAACTCGTATGTTTCCAGAACCTGGATCTGTGTAGGTTGCCGACGGCTCACGAAAGCGACTTTTTTCTGATGTCGGCCGTAGTTGCAACAGCACCTAATGTATCAATTTGCGCTTCATCAAGACACGAGACCTAGAGCGTCCTCATGCGGAGAAAGAAGAACGAAAATTGGTGGCTGAAAGGAACAAGATTGAAACAAAAACTCACATATGCGACGAAATCTGGATTTGAGGGCCACGTTCTCGGAGCATCCCGTGACATCGAAGTAAAAATCCGGATAGGTTTCCTGCTCGAAAGCTGTGGGAGGATGGGCGGTGCCGATGGCAAGCACCGTCGCTGGACCAATTCCCCTCTCGTGCTGATGCGTTGGCAATCCTGGCTTCGGCTTATTCAACTTGGTCTGCGCGAGCACTGCGCGCATAGCCTCTATCCGCTCCTTCCGATAGTATCGCGAAGTCCGTTGCACATTGCTGCTCTCGGCAGTCTCGACTGCAGCCATGGGTAATTTTTAACCTCCCGCTCCTGTCCGGGCGCAACACTGGACAATAGACCCAACAATTGTTCAGGCTGGAACCAGAAAACCCTCTTCACTGACTCCTTATTTCTGAGACCTGCCTTGTGCGATTCTGCTAGCGATCGGTCCGCAGAAGTACGTCCCTAATCTCTCGACCACCTAGATGCACTGCTAGGGATGTAAGGATGCCTTGACCAGTATAAGGGTGAGGGTAGCCATGACGATGACTCCGAAAAGACTTTGGTGACACGGATGGAAAGGTCGCTCTCCATAGATGCTTCTTGCATCGAGATTACAAATCACACACTGACAAAGATTGGAAGATGTATTCAATTTTCAAAAAACAAAGACGTAGATTGCAGGACGCTACTCGTCCTAGACGATCGAATGACAACCGGCTCTAATTAGACAAAATTTGATCGACAAAACAGACATGTGGAATCCACACACAACTACCAGGTACACCAGTACCAAGGGACCAAAATTATTGCCAAAAGTTTTGAATCGCAATAGAGCTTATCTTCAACGCATCTATAAGGTATCACATGTCAGAGAATGAAAAAAAAACAACAAAAGAATCACAAACACGCTAAAAGCGGTCAAACGTATGAGATCAGGGACTGAAACCAGGACCCGAAAGAAAGGCCTCAGATATATCCTCTTCATCGCACCTAAGCGGGTCAGAGAATCAGGACCCGCATAGTTCTCATTATTCTTGCTCTACGTTCTCGACCCTTCCACTTGCGTGAAGCTCTGAAAACATTCATTCAGCATGTGAACTGAAAGATCGGACAAATTCCAACCCCCAAACAGAACAGAAACACTCACCTGCATGTCCCACAGTCCACTGGGTTCCGAACAAATCGGCGCTGTGCGAGGATTCAGAAGTAGAAGTATAATTAGTGGTGATACTAGTAGTAGTGATAGTAGGAGGAGCAGCAGCAGCAGCAAGCACAACCGAATCGAGATGCTTTCGACCACAAGTGCACTCACTTACTCACAAACAGTGCGTGCCTGGCGCCCGCCTGCCCTCCTTTTGGTTATTCCACTGGTGACATCCCCCAGTGCTCCGTTTCTCGGTCCGACTAGAGGTGCAACACAGAACTCGTGCTCGAAATTGAAACTATGACTTTGACCATATCACCACACTGTGGAAGCTGGATGTCATCTTCCTCACAACCTTGTGGATCAGATCACTGACGCCGTGACAAAGAACTGTATTTTAAAAAGGCTTGGTCACGTCGACTCCGACAACAGACTACCAAACCTGCCACGTCCGGAAATCCTAGGCACCTACAGTTGGCGGGCACACCATTTCAACACCTCCTTGCACTTGATTGAAGGGTGGAAGGCACCAGATAATCCATGCTCGACTGATTTGTGGAGGATTCGTTTAACGCAATACGCAAGTAACTCGCAGACGAGGTCAATCGTCAGCCAAACCGTCGGACAGTATCTTTGACTACAGTAATTGGAATGATTCCTCTCATTCTTGACCGGACCGAGCTCTCAGCAGGCGCCCAATCTACGCCGGGTCAGCCCCGCTGATCGTTGGAATCGTTCTCCTTCTCTTGTCATTCGCCATACTTTTCGAGACCTCTCATATCCAGGGTGGCATGACGGCGACGATTTCCATCATCCGTTTGCGGCGCTGTGAAATTCTCGAAGGACGATAATTTAGTGACCCATCTCAATTAAATTACTAACGTAGCTGTAAAAAGGATTGTCCATCGACGTCGGTCCAATGATCCTTCGGTCGTGGGCGTTTCGAAGGCGATGCAGCCCCAAGCCTATGACGCCCGAATGCATAATAGGAATACGAAGGAATTGGAAAGTGACGGAGTCACTGGAAGAATTAGACACATTATAAGCGGTGGTAATGAGAGGGATAGCAAATAATGGACGACAACTTTCGATGCATCATGCCGTTTTTCTACCGCGTGGTAATTGAAGAAATAAACCTAAGCTTTCAATATATGCAATAACCACCCAGAGGATCAGAAAGTAAGGATTGAGAATACGTTTCTGGGACTAAGGAAAAAATTTCATTTTCTATATCTCCATCTCGAGCACTTAAACCAGCCTTGACATTCCTGGTGTTTATTGCAATGGAACTGGGTTATTTTGAATGCAATTCAACTGGCTATATGCAATAAACACCCAGAGAATAAAAAAATTTAAGTCAGAAAGCATTTTCTCAGACAGAAGAAAATTTCCGCTTTTCCCATCTCCAGATATTACAACAAATATTCGTGGTGTTTATTGCATATATCCTATTCCTTTGGTCACCAGGAACAATCTCCAGACTATTTACTCCTGAGGAGTAGATGATTTGGTAATAACCCAGTTTCATCGTCGGCCCTCTTATCTCCGAGGGCCGAAAACAAAACAGCCCCGACTAGAAGCTAAGCGGAAGAAGAGGAATATCAAATTGGAAATACCAATAATGATTCTAATCTAAAATCCAGCGATTTGGCCTACCAGTTCTTGATGGATATGAGGAAACCTCATCGTGCTCATGAGCTTGAATTGGTGATGATTTGTCAGGGAAAACTGAATTCCTTAACTATTTGTGTCTTGCGCATAATGCAAGCGCTCTAAGAGATGGTGGTCGTGTTCTTCCCATGGCGTTACCTGGTGAGAAAGAAGTGTCCTTAAAGTTCAGGGAAGCAAGAACTTCGATCGTCGAAGATTGTTTCAAAACTTCTCTCGTCTTTGACCTTGGGAGTGTTCTTCAAACGTGATGTACCAACCCCAAGTAAACATCAGTTTCTGTTCATTGAGTAAACATCGACATAGAAATGACGGGGAAAAAAACCATTCGAGCCAACTTGTAGTCTTGAAAAGAGTAGTACAGATTGCAACGAAGACACAAGAAGATGCTTTGCATCTTATGAGGAAAGAGGGACAAAATATGGGTTGAGTTTGGGCACCGCGTCACTCAAGAAGACATGTTAGTTTCCCTCTGCAGAGGGAAGGAAATTGGAGAAAGAAAGAAAAGAAAAGGAGGGAAAGACTTACTCCCTCCTTTTCTTTTCTTTCTTTCTCCAATTCTCGTTCCTTTCTAGGCTCTTTCGATCGTGCCCTCTGGATCTCTCCTGCCATTTGGCTTCCAAACCTTCCTCGTGACTCGTGAGTTCTTTAGTCCTTGGGTTTCTCTCCAGTGCTTAATCTGTGAGTAATTCTCAGAAACATACACGGCGTAATCGCAAAGGTGAGCGGGGAAAGAATAAACAAACCATAAACCCTGCAAACTCTCATGACTCGGGGTGGTACACGAGCGGCCACCGACACATATGCACACTTCTGGATTGCCTTGACTTTCGCTGAAATCCGACTCAGAAGTGTGATGACCATCAACCAACTTCACCTGACGGTACTCGAGCTCGAGAAAGCCACAGATTGGCGACGAGTCAAGGACCGAATGCGCACCTACTGGGACTTGTAGCAACACGAGCTAACCAGAACTGTACTTGGCAGTGATTACCGAACTCACTATCCGAGCACATTTCTAAACTAGTGAATCCATCGTACAGAATTCGCTCTGTCATCCTTCAGAGAATAATCAGACTCTCTGGATTTGCCGAGAGGAGTTGAAAACGAATGGAACTGGTCGACGAGATCCTCAAATGTCAGAAGAGCTTGGGACTCCCATTCCAACAAGTTCTTTTAGTGATGCCGCGCGTACAGACCCCTCTCGCGCCAACCGACCGCCTGAGTTTCAATGGACACCCGATGGGGAAAACGACGCATTTAGCACGAGACGGTTTGAAAACGGTTTGGAAAAATCTCGATGGGTTTTTATTCTAAGTATGAACATTTAGCTATCCAAAGTGTATGCTTACTGTAATTCTTTATGACCCATTATTCCGATAAAGCATGAGTTCTAATCTGGGGCCCCCAAAAATGTGTCGTGAAGTCTACCATTTACGGTTTGGCAGTATCTGCCATGAACTTACTGGCCTTTGAGAGCACAATTAGCAAGTCTTATAATTCCTTTTTGGAAAGTGTGCTAAAGATGTACGTCATGAGAGAATTCTGCTCCTCCTGACATTAAATGGGCATATATTGAAAGTGTTGTAACCCTTAGTACACTCTAAATTAGCCCATGCTACTGCATCATCATTTCTGACCTGCGATCTTCTAATTGTTTATTCCATCAATGCTCCGCCTTTGCCTTCTATCTTAGTATGTTACACTTCCGCATCCCGATAGAATTTGGTTTGTCGGTCTCTTGACTTCTATTTGGAATTCATGATTTAATTAAGCATAAGATTTCAATGTTTTTGTTCTTTACCCAAAATCACGACTTAACTAATGTCTAAGGTCTCATAACTTTTTTTGGTTGCAAGATAAGACATGAATATCATCCATGAAAAATACAGTTCGTGTGACGTACCCTTCCCAGTTTGGTTCAATTTCTCAAGCGCGTGATGATAAGCTATTATACTTTGCTTTATGTTGTTACAAGATGGCTTTGTATTTCACATGAGTTCCAAGATGATTGCAGCTAGTGTAGGAGTCACACCAAAATTTTGTGAGTCATTTTTTGAAATTCAGATGAGCTATTCAAGGTTTATTAAAATACTGTTACAAATGTAAAAATTAATAAAAATTTTATTTTTCAATTTTTCTTATCTACTCTCCATAAGGACCACATCTATATTTTATTATCTAACAAGATTTAAATACATGTCAAAATTTTCTAGAAATCATCATTATTGTTCAAATTAATTTTCAAATTTTCCAAAATGAGTTTCTCTACATCAATTCACGTTGAATTCTTCATCTTCTTCAATTGCTATTTTGAATAAAATCTCTTGATCCAGTGCTGTGAAGATGATGTTGAAAATGGTTTAGAATGTAAATTAAAGTTGGATTGTACAATGAAAATCATATTCATGCGTTTTATCATTACGCGATTGTAAATTTTTGTCTTTGATAGTGACAACTTTGAAAAAAATTTGTTTCACAGAGGCATTTTGAATAGCAATGGGAAAAAAATGTATTGCAAATACACGCCAAGTTTTTGTAGCGATAACTAATTGTTAAAAATCCATCGCACAATCTTTTTTTGAATTGCTTGTGAATGCTTCAATCCTGTTGATGTGCTATTTTACTTCCGCTAGCAATGACAATGTATTCATCTTGATGAATCCAATCATTTGGCAAGATTTGCAAGATCTTTTTGAAGATCAAAGTTGATTTTTTTTTATAGATGACAACAGATTGATACTATGGGTTAAAAAAAAACTACAAAATAGATTGGATGATCAAATTCATAAATTTTTTAAAAATAATCCTAATCTTATAGATCTTGAAACTATTATAATTCTCATACTTCACATTTGTGTACAACTTGATAACTTTGATACGGATTTGATCTAATATGGTGGAACTTTGCTCGAGACAATGTATACTATAGACGATCAGCTTGATGAGCTTGCAAATCTTCTTATTGATTGCAAAGTGATAATCATAATCCACTAGCTTCATGATCTCCTTATTGGCTAGTTTTGACTTGTACACTCGGTTTTGAAAATCTTTGTGATATAATAGAACATCAAGACTTACAAACATTGCTTAATATCATTGTGTTTCAGAATATTTTTTAAAATAAATTAACAAAACTTTTGAATATCGTTTTCTCAATCTCACATCTTGAGTTATATCGTTCAATAGTGAAAATTAACCAAAAAATTGATCAGCTTGTAATTTTTCTTCAAGATGTGCTTTATAGTGCCCTAAGCTAGCACATACTTTATGATTTGATTTAATAGATGGAGATAGCAGCACAAGAGAACAATATTCTAATGCAAATTAGCCAAATTATTCCTTATTATGATTTTTAGACCATCGAATACAAAAACTACTACTACTAATGAAAAGAAAAACCTTTTGTTAGTTGACCATATCAATTGTCATTGCAATGCATTTGCTGTAAGTTTATCTCTAAAATGCATAATATTCAAAAATCATTGTTTTGTGTTAGTGATGCAATCACAACGTAGATTGAATTGTTGGAAATATATTCTCATCCGTCCATTATTGACGTACTTGAATTGAATTTCAAGCTCCAAAAACATTCGTTGAATTGCTTTTGTAATTATCAATATGAGTTCACTCTTCTTAATGGCACGATGTAACTAGTATTGAAATCACGGATAAAAATTGCAAGATTTGTTGAAACACACATTCAATGCATTGTTGGAGATGATCAAAAAGTCAAAAATGATGACTTTCATGTACATCTACATTTGTTGACAAACTACAAAACTTTAGCAAAAATTGTTGCAATATAAAAATTTGTTGTGTTTCAAATCTTAGATCTAATGTAATTGATGATTACATTAAGATCCGTGGACTTTTTGAAGATTGTTCTGCAATACACATGAACTCAATTTTACTTTCAAAATCTAAAGTACATTGATTGAATAAATGATTACGATGAATATCATATATGTATATATATATAATGTTCCTACATCTTATCATGTTCACACGTTGCACAATAGCAATTTTTACATCATTTTTTTCAAGAGATAGAAACAATATCATCTTAGATTTCTGATCTCATTTGCTATCCATATGATATCTCTGTTTGATGTCTAGAGTTTGGTTGTGACGATGATGAAATTGTTGTAACGCTCTCAATTTTCACGTCAAAGACATGAAGAACACTGACACACAATGAATACACCAATGTAAGATAATTTTTTCCAAATGAAAAATATCTCCAAATGAACATACTTCAATTGACTCAATCTATAACTTTGTTCTTTATAGCAAATTGTATTC